TTCTTGCTAAATAAAAAGTGTGTATACATGCATACATATTTATGTAATATTAGAATTATACAATTAGTAGTATTAAATAAAGTAATATTATATACAATAAAAGAAATGTAAATTAAAAACTGACTATGCAAATTTTCTAAGCATTTTATATTTGTTGCGTAGTACCTTTTCCGGTATTTGGTCCTGTCCTGCTGGTTGGCCTTTTTTTCATCCTCTCTTTTTCTTTGCTTCTCAAGTATAATAGAGTAAGACTGTGTAATTTGTCCTGTCCTGTCCTCTTACTCTAAACAACTAACACTAGGTGATTCTTACAAAGAATATAGTCTGTTATTTCTGCATATATTGTAAGAGTCAGAAAGTTTTGTATTAGATCATCATGTCAAGTACAGCAGCCTGCACAAATCCCTCTCAGCCAGAGGGCAAATACACGGTTAGGGAAAAGCCCAAAGAGAGAGGTATTGAGTAGTTTTGTCAGAGAGCACAGACCCTCACGTTAACCTTAGAGGAACAGGAGGGCCTTGAAGTCACGATGGAGATGAGAGAGAGGCGGGGGGCCGACAGGACGCAAATGTCAGTGCACACCCAACTAAGACTCAACCATGCGGGAGAGATGTCTCCAGAATCTGAGAGACACACTTGTACATACACATTAACACACAAACACACAGTGCACAGCCATGAGCAGCCACATCTCATTCATGTCAAATGAGTTCAGACAGTTTGGAGCCACAGGAAAGACACAGGTTGAAATCTGACAAACAAGCTCAGGAGTATGAAGGATTGGGGGGCTTTAGGAGAACTAGTAAGCTTAATATTATGGTCCTTCCTTAGTCTATCTTTCTTTCAAAAAGTAAACATGAATTTATGTGTATCTGGAGGCTTTTACAGAGACTCACATCCAATTAATGCCTTTAGAAATATAAAGAGTTTCATATCCAGAGTCCTGTCAGTGAGTTTCCTTTTTTTTATAGCCTTGAATGCTTTTCATCTTTTTCTGTTCTGCAGTACTCAGTACAATGACCTCAAAGACAGTTCCAGGGGTTTTCAAACTGTTTAATGCCAAGGACACTCAAACATGAGATATGATTTAGACAACTGTTTACTTTTATGACTACAGACCCATGTATGAAAGACAGTTATGGAAATAACAGATTGATGTTATAGTGACAAAGTTGTTTCCAAAATTGGAAATTTAATTATTAACTTTTATTTGTCATTGTGCTACAGCCAAAAACTATTTATTAATTAATTATCAGAAAAATATTAGCATTTCAAACCATGTATATGTTTTCTGCCTATAATGTTACAATATATACTTGTTAAATAAATTTGTATTTAATTATTTTAATTTTGTTTAGCACATTTTATAATATCATTCCTTAAAAGAAAACAATTCCAAACAATAAAGATGACAGTGGCAATATGTAAATCTAGTTTTATTTCTTATACATTTTGAGCTTTTTTCCCACAAAATTCCATAGCCTCTGGAAACTTCCAAAGGGCATGCAAGTAAACCCAGATTCAGTTAAAAATGCAACTGTACGTGACAGCCAGTGATCAATGGGAAAAGACATTTGGGCTTTGACTTTTTGATAACTACTCATATGAATCGTAAGCAGAGTAAATAAACAATGGCAGAATTGTCCGTTTTAAGTAGATGTGACTTGATTGGAATGTGAATATGTGTTGTTTCTTCCACAGTATTTGACACACCTTTATCTACAGTAATCGTTCAACCTAATTATCAGTATAACAATTTTCGGGGGTAAGTCGCATTCAAAATCCAGTTGGCTAAAAAAAAAAATCTGTGCCAGATCCAGAAGGTCTCACATTATATAAATGTGATATCTCAAAGATTTCTGCCCCTCAGGACACCCATATGGCTGAGTGTGAGTATACCCTGCCCAGCATGAGAATTATTTTCTTTAACTGTAGATAGGATATTGTATGGCATAGAATCTTGCCTTTGGCCTCAGCATGCTGTTTAAGATGTGATCTGAATCATAGATTGCAGTATCACTGCTGGAATCCACCGTGAATTATGCCTCGCATAATCATGACTCACATTCTGTGTGTTGTCTATATTATCCCGCCCCTGTTTTATGTCCTTTATTGTTCAGCAATGACACACATTTAAATGCATGTAGGCCATTCCTGTGCCTACATGACAAAACTTTGACTACAAAGTATAGATGGAGTATAGATGGAGTTAAGCCTGACAGATAAAACCTGCTTTTCTCTTCTCTGTTTGACTGTGGTTGGAGAGTTTTGAGGAATATGATACATTGGTAAATATTAAGACATGACTGGAAATGGAAGTGGTAAATTATTTAGGAGCCCAATTCAACATCCAATTTGACATGTAGGCAAAATGTTCTGTATAGAAGTGTATAAATTAGTTGTCTAGAGCTGCGAAGTCTTGCAGTAGCCTCAAAAAGAGTTAATCTGTAGAGAAGTTGGTTTATTCTTAAAGCAGAGTGTTAATCTTAGCAGAACTCTTAATCTTGTAAGAAGAGTTAATCTGGTGTGCAGTGTTCAGCATGTGGGAAATGCTTTTGGAGAGGTGTTAACCTCGGAAAAGTACTAATCTTCGGATGAGTAATTTTGTCCTCCAAATGTGTTCATCTCGATAGGGCTGCATTAATGGGTCATTTCTTGTCTAAAATGGGGTTACGGCAAAATGCTGGGAGAATGATCAATTCTCTGTATTTTGTTATATTGCTCATGACAGGTATTCATAAAGGGATTTTGAATATTTAGAACGATGAGACCAAAGGTTTGATTTGACGTTTGGACAGAAAGGAACAGAGAAGGAGAAATGGGAACTGAGACATAAGAAAGGAATATTCAGGTTGGATGGGGTTAGCTTTTTAATGCATTGATGCCATGAATATTAAAATAACCTTAGGACAACAGTCTAAAAAATTTCTAGTTCAGATGATTGCTAAATTCAGAAGAGCAGCATGTATATGAATGGCTTTAGTCTTGGCTGGATGCTGTTACTTGGTCTTTGGTTTACTACTGTATATGATACCGATGTTAAGGCTGGCTAAAAAATATCCTTGACCAAAATAGCCAACACACTCTATTAGCACTTTTAACATAAAAAGGCATTGAATCTTCTGTAAATCTTCAGCTCTGTTCCAAAACCTAGTGAGCTGCCTATCTAGACAGTATTTTGAGACATAGGTCTGCTTCTGGTGCGAAGGCTTTTCCAAAAAAAGGTAGGCAGCATACTTATGTTCCTTTAATACACTTTCTTTAACCCAAAATGTAAAGTGATAGTCATTAAAAAATGAAAATTCTGTCATTAATTACTCGCCCTCATGTCATTGCAAACCCGTAAGACCTTTGTTCATCTTCGGAACTCAAATTAAGATATTTTTGATGAAATCCAAGAGCTTTTTGACCCTCCATAGACAGCAACAGAACTACCACGTTCAATGCCCAGAAATGTACAGCAGAGCTTCAACCGTACTTTATGAAGCTAATTTTGCATGCAATATTTCGAGATGGTCCTCACTGCAGAACACAAGATCCAGGGGGCGTGGTTGGATCCAGATCCAACTCTTCCCACCTTACATATACCTAAACCTACCCGTCTCCACCCCCTGATCCCTAAACCCACCCATCTCCACCCCTAAACCTACCCATTTCCACCGCCTAGATGTGGGTCCAACCACTCCCTCTACCCAGAAATGTACATCAATAAAACAATCCATGTGACAGCAGTGCTTCAACCGTACTTTATGAAGCTAATTTTGCATGCAATATTTCGAGATGGTCCTCACTGCAGAACACAAGATCCAGGGGGCGTGGTTGGATCCAGATCCAACTCTTCCCACCTTACATATACCTAAACCTACCCGTCTCCACCCCCTGATCCCTAAACCCACCCATCTCCACCCCTAAACCTACCCATTTCCACCGCCTAGATGTGGGTCCAACCACTCCCTCTGGATCTTGTGTTCTGCAGTTATTATATATTAATATTCTACTGAATATTTCTGCAATAAGTACTTGTTTTCTTTAAGTATGTTAAAGTGTAATTCCTTTTCACAAGGGAGTCCCAGAATGTATTGTGAAAATGTCCAAGATGGTGAGATGGTTAAGCCATGTGACATATCAATTATGTTCAGTGTGGGGGAAAGTTACTTTTAAAAGTAATGCATTACAATATTGAGTTACACCCTAAAAATGTAACTGATTGTGTTATAGTTACTTTTAATGGAAAATAATGTGTTGTATTACTTTTGCTTTACTATTTCTCATCTGGACTGGGCTTGCTTGTTTGTTTTTAATATAAAACAGCTACATTTTTGGCAAATTCACGTTATAGCAGAGGGCACAGCTCAAACAAACCTGCCATTCTGGATTGCATGAAGAATAAGACACAGGAGAAGACAGTTTAACACTCTTCAGCAATAAAAAGAAAGAAAGAAAGAAAGAAAGAAACATGCTTATCTAAAGTAATTTTTGCTTATTTGTATGGTTGCATTGAATCATTGAAGGTGAGCAGCAAAATCATTGGTTAATAAAATAGAATTAAATGCATAAATTATATTTGTGTTATGTGACATTTAATTATTGCAGGTTTGAGTATGAGTTTGCATTTTACTGTTTTTATTTATTTTGAGAAATATGGAATCTGTTTTTGTGCAAGTGAGATGAGTAAATGCATGTTCGCATTTAGTCTAGAACTACAGTAACCATCATGTTTATACATTGCACACAAAGCCTCTGTGCTTACTCCCGATTTCTCTCAACATGAGGACAAGAGATCTGTCAGTCAATAAATGGGAAAACAAAGTAACTGGCGTTGCGTATTTGAAAAAGTAACTGAGATATTTTATTGTAAATGAAAAAGGATTGCATTATTTTACTAGTTACTTGAAAAAAATTCTGATTACGGAACTCTTGTTACTTGTAATCCATTACCCCCAACTCTATTCCATTGTGGCAGCTCACTAGATTTTGTAACGGAGCTCATTTCTACTCACCTGGAGTTACTGAGGTCATTCTGACCTCCACGGCTCTTCTCCAGCCCCAGTTTGGTGAAGATTCCCACCAGGACCATGATGGCCACCACACCGCAGATTATGTACACAATCATGTGAGTCCGATCCCGCTCATGGTCTGGCTGCACCTCAGTGTTGGTGGCCACTGGTTTTCCAGTGTTGGCCCAAATTGGAGTATCATAGTTGGAGCAGGAGGTCTGATCCAGTCGCTGCTGACGGAACTGACAGCAGAACCGATAGAAACAGGTGCCGCAACAGTACAAGAAGATACCTGCATTACAGTTAAAGGGAGGGTCCCACTGGCCCATAACATCATAGTAACCCCGACAGCGGGTGCCAGTGGACGGCACAGTGTCCTCCTCCACCTCTGCAGGTGTGGTCAAAGTTGGAGGTCCTTCTGATGTCACAGAAATCAACAGAGGATCTAGAGTCTGATTGGCTGTTTGGATGTCCATATTAGTAGAAGTCTCATCCTGTGCTTTAGCAGCCCGTCCCACGATGGCAGTGAGCAGAAGATGTAGTAAAAAACTATTTCCAGCCATGCTTCACCCGACACACTGCGCCCAATGATTTACCTCACTTTGAGAGAAGATACCTGGCATAAATATTAAAAGAAGAATTCTAGAAAGTGCTGAATTACTTTCACACAATTACAGCTATGGTCAAAAAATGTTTAAAAGATTAATTCACGGATTTAAAAATATTCTATTTGAAAAAGAAATCTATTAAAAATGTGTTAGTTATTTTTATAATGAATATTAAATATGCATGTTTTATTTTTTTAATTAATAAATGCTTTCATTTAACTTTTTTTCAATTAATAAAAGATGCATTTTAACAAAATATAATACTGTTTAAGTACTTTAAGACTTTTGAGAAAGAAAAAAAACACTGAAACTGGTTTAGTAAAAAACAGTATAAAATGTTTGGTTTTTTCCAATTATAACAACATTACCTTTGTCCTTTGAGAGAGAAAAGAACCATTTGGACATTTGCTGTCTTGCTCTGGTCCTTTCCAGATATGCATCTCATTTTGTTTCCATTCACTGTTCAACACTTGTTCTCCATGCTCACCAGTAGTAAAACGTCTGTAAACAACCAGTCACAGTAATTTGCCATTAAAAATCCTTTCCTGAGGAGCGAGTGAACCCACAGACAGGTGTTTTAATCCACAGCGATCCACTCAGACTGCTGTCTCTGAGCCTTGTGAAGGGCAACAGTTCAGGATTCAAATTAAAACTCCTCCCTTCTGTTCTCAGCATATCAGAGAGAGAGAGAAGAGAGAGAAGAGAGAGGGATTGAGGTGGGGGGCAGCCGCTGGTTATAGTGTGAAAGGGGAGGAGACACTATGTTACTGAAGAGCTTAGATCACAGATTGTTATAGATAATGAAAAATGTAAAATTCTTTTATTTCCATATATCTAATTGAGAGTGAAATAGAACATGCGAAAAGTAAATAAATATTTTCATTGGCCAGCCATCTCTATCGTGACTTAGGGTTTATTTTGTGAGTTGGTTCTGCAACTGTAACATCTGATCTCACCATTAATAATGTTCGTCAGCAGAAAATAGATTTTGGTAAGGTCTTTTTCATGACTAACTCTTTGTTAATTAAAATTTGATTCATGTTTTTAATTCTACATGTTTAGAGAGGAAAATGTGACTATACAAGATACAGGAAGAGCAAAGTTGGCACACCACAGCTCCAAAAGTAAAAGAAAAATGTATGTTCTCACCACAGGTGATGTTTCGAGCCTAAAAGCTTTTCATTAAGATAGTACCATTCAAAAGTTTGGGGTCAGTAATTTTTTTTTTTTGAAATAAATTAACTTTTCCACGACATTCTAATTTATTGAGATGCACCTGTACTGTTCCACATGCCTTCAACCTGAAAACTGTGTGAACATCAAATAGACCTGGAACATGAATTTACATTTGACATGTTTTGATGCCAAAATCCTCTTGAAGTGTCCCCCAACCCCTGTCCATCAGCACATCAGTATTCACCATGTCTTACAACCATTCTTCTGCAGCGTTGTATGAACTAAACTGATTTTTTTCACAAAGACAGAAAATGTCCAGACTGTCCCATGTCAAAATATCAATGATTAAACCAACTATTTGAATTTTTACAAGGTTATTGCAGTTTTTCTTCACATACAGTGCGGTTGTGATGGGCTCTGAGGGGACTTGTGCCTTTGATCAGCTCTCTACACAGGGTTAAGATGTGACAAACATAACCTGGAGTTCTGAAGAGAGGAAGGAGGACAGGATGAATAAGGCATCTCACGGATCTCTTTGGTCGTCTCAAACTAATTCTCACTCTCTTTTCTTTTTGCAATCTATATCTCCTACTCTGCCCTTTTTTGTCTCTCCTTTTTGAGAACGCAAAGCATCTTGATGACTTTAAAATCAAAATACTTATAAACTGTCAAATTTCTATTAAACATGTTGTCCTACTTTCTTCTTGATGATTACAAATGTTCTCTGTAACTGTCTTTTTGCCTCATCACTCAGGCTCCTCTGTCATATCCAGGTCCACATGGATTTTTTTTTATCTGCACTGATTTTTATACTTTTTTTAGAGTACTTCTGTAGAATTAGCAAACAGATATCAAAAATGTTTTAAATTAAGCTCAGGGGACTGACTACACACTTACTGATAGCTGAAGGCATTATCAGATTAGTCAAAGTGTTTAATAAATGAACACAAGGGGTGTATGAAGACTTGTGAGAGTCGAAATACAGCGCATGAGTCATGTGGACCAATTTATGTTACTTTGATGGTGCTTTTCTGATGTAAAAACATCTTAGACCAGCCTAAGCTGGTTTGCTGGTCTTATAGTCTCCCAGCCTAGTCAAACTATAGTCTGATGGATGGTTTTAAAAGGGTTTTCAGCTACAGCAATGCATCAAAAGACAATAGAACCCATTAATATTAGTGATCATGCTTATATTTGTGATGTACTCCAAGTGTTCACACTACTTCTGACATGAGAAAATTAAATTAAGTAAATTGTCAATGGAAAAAGTTATTCATTGTAATTGCATGGAAAAGAGTGGCCAGTATAGAGTTCAGAACACTTTATTTTGTGTTTGACAGAAGAAAGTCATTCATACAGATTTGGAGTGATATGGGGGCAAGTGATGACAGAATTTCCATTTTTGGGTGGATAATGAGAGAGGCGAAAGGCTGAAAAGAGATAAGATGACCTGTGTGAAAGTCAGTTGTGTGTGCTCTGACTTGCATTGGGAGGTTGCTTCATTTGTAGGAATGAATATGAGGGTGATTATATTAAATCTGAATAACCCCCCCCCTCAACTTAATATGTATCCAGAGTCAGAAACTGTACATGGATTTCCTTAGGCTCTCAGTATGGAAGATAAAATGTGACCCTGGACCACAAAACCGGTCTTAAGTGTCAATAAGCTGAATAAATAAACCATTGATGTATGGTTTTTTAGGATAAGACAATGTAAGAAAAATTATGAGGATGATGAAGATCTCGATGAAGATGTTTATTGCAGCATATCAGTGACAAAGTACATGTAGTACATTTGGGATGACCGGATCATCTTTCTCCAGGAGGGTACACATTTCAAACAAACATGCTTATACCTGAAATTAGATAAAAAAGAAGAGGGTTCCCCCCCTTTCCCCCACAAGAATCTTTTCACATTCAAAACCAAAGCTACAGAAATGTAATCACAGAATGCAATTAAATAATTTCTCATTAATTAAATTTAAATATTAATGCCATTAACACATTTCCCAAAAATGATAAAGAATCACCCCCCTTTTGATAGTAAACATATTTTGTAAAATATAATACTATCATAAAACTATTCCTACAATTCACATCAGCATCTGCTTGTGACTGAGCTACAGTCATGTTGTTCATGCAGTGCTGTGGCTGGCAAGGTGTGAATGGCTTCTTCCTTGTTTCCTTTCAACAGTGCCAACTGGGTTTCTAAACTGCCTATCTTCTTAAGCAAATCATGATAGCTCTTCCTTCTTTTGTGTGAAAAGTGACACTGTCTTGCCCTGTGTCCCAAACTTCCACATGCAAACATTTTCATTTCTTTGATCAAGAACCCTCTCATTTCCAGTCTGTCTTGTTCACACGGGTGCTATTGGGAATATCACAGACCAACTGTCTAGCTGTCCCTGCATACAAACATCTAAATGTTTCCATATCTGTTTCAGACTTTGAAATTTCTTTTCTCAATTTCACTATCTGTTCCTTCCAAATTATCTCTTCAGCCTCGCAATTTCTCAATGACATGACATAGAATTTAGCTTGACAATTTAGCAACTTGTTTTCAGTTTTAATTTCTTCTAATCTTTTCTTAGTTACCTTGTATGAGGCAAAAAGAGCTTGAAGTGCATTAGCAACTTTTCCCTCTTTGTTTTTAGGCATTTTGGGACAATTTTTTTAATTGAGACATAGCCCACTCTTACGGGTCATCTGCCTTCTCTATCCCCTCAAACATTCCTACTGGAGCCGTGCTTAGCGATGTATTTAACTATCAACTCTTCCATTTTGTGTTCAGCAATTCAATAGGCTTCTTTTCCTTCACTGACTGAACATTATCTAGATACTTTAAGATACCTGTCGAATTAGTCGAATTATTCACAGCTCCTGTGCTTTGGCCGCAAATGAATAAAACAG